GGGATCTCAGGATGAAGGACCAGATTCTGTGCAAACTCCAAGCTGAAAATAATGGATAATTTAAAGCTTTCAAAAAGGCTGTTGTTATTTTTTATATATATATAAAAAGCTGTGCTGTAATTACGAATGGTAACTCTGAATCATTTTAAGAAATTGCATTGCTCATTTTGGACTTTTGCAATGTGTTTTGAAGGCCTTGTTAAGAAAGCAAGGGAGCCAAGGAGAACATTGATTTAAAGCTGAAGAGACCATCAAATAGCTTGAAGCTTTCTAGATCCACCAGGCCAAACACTTTGTACCTTCCCTATCTCCTAAATTTGCCCTAAAGGTAAAATGTAGAGAAGACACGACACTTCACTGCCTTCAAACTCTAGAAATGCAACGAGTCACCTTACTTAAAAGCAGGCCAAGATATTTCAAAGTATGTACGGCACAGTTGGAAAATGGAGAAGCTGAAGGTTAGATCCCACTGAAATCAACAGGTGTAGTTAAATGTCTGTTGCAGTGAAATTTTTAAACATTGATAATCTCAGATAGATTTTATGGACCTCAACATTCAAAAGACCATCATTCATGCACATATCTCCTTGCTCCTTGACACACAGATATTCGTGGCAATCAAGTTGACTTAGACTTGTGAAGCAGAGATGGGTGGTGAAGGCAATACCAGAGGCAATTTTTAATAGTGTGATGAATTATCACAGAACTCTTATCACCAATGGAACATATCTTCATGTCCCTTGATGGCCATCCAAAGAACCAAGCCATGATATGTGTTGCTGAATAGCACAGGTTGCTGAACCATCAAACAATGTCCAGCTTCAAGCCCAGGTCCACCTAAAACTAATTCCTTGGTCTTGTTTCAACTATCTTAACAAAACAGGGAGAAGAAAAATGACCAGGACAGAAACATGGTCTTCAAACCATCTCTTAGTCAAGATTGATAAAACATCACAGGCTCTTTCATAAGTTCAAGCCTGGCTGGTCCCACCCATTTGGTTAATTGCTGTTTGCAAGCCTGGCCTTGTGGTGGGGTTAATGATTCACTTATCGAGCTGATTGGCCTTTTCATATCAGTCTGTCGACCAATCGGTGTTGAAACGGGACGGTTTATTTGTTTAGCCATTGACTTTGGAGGTGGTAACCAAGAAGCTTAAGAGCTTGGGCGTCCCAAAATTCCAGAGATGCTTTCCTTGGCTCGTTAAAGGAGAACTGTTTGGGAGTTGATAAATGAGAAGATGATGGAGGGTAATTAGCAAAGCAGAATGCTGGTGGGGGCTGCTTTATCTGTAAGCGATAGGGCGAAAAGGCAGCGAGGAAGGAATTCGGCTGGCAGGTTAAAGCCATGGGCTTCTGACAATGAGTAACTTTTGTCTCTGGAACATGATTAGCACTCGGTGCTTCCTGCCCTTATAAACACACCTATTTAGATGGAATTCCATCACAGATTTATGGCTGAAAGGAAGCTGAAGGGAACCCCATTCTTCTCTTCACTCAGAAGCTGCAGTGCGTGTCCAGGAGTGCAACACACATTCCAAACCATACAATTACACCTGGCGGACGAGTTGTTTTTGTTTTTTTGAGAGGGTGGGATTGCATAGCTTCCTCCTGTCATCCTCTGGGCCCAACCATCAACATCCACACCGATTGCTAGGTGGTGGCCACCCGTGATAGACTCTTATTTATCTCCTTGATGTTCACTAGAAGAAGACTCCTTAAGACCCTGGAAGACATATGGCCACTGAAAGCCTTAATCTACTCCTGGAGATCTCTGAACAGTTCGCCTCAGAGGTAATTAAAACATTGACGAGGTCAACGCAGTAATTAAACGGGCAACTGGAGAGTCACTAGCTCAATTGATGTTGATCAATTTGATATGGAGAGCATTGATATATACTACACAATCTATTTCAGTCCTGCTGAAATATACAGGTAGTCCTTAATTTGCAACAGCTCATTTAGTGACCATTTCCAATGGCACTGAAAATGATGATGATGATGATAAAATTGGAAGGGACTTTGGAGGTCATCTAGTCCAACACCCTGCTCAGGAAGGAAACCCTATACCATTTTAGACAAATGGCTGTCCAGTCTCTTCTTAAAAATTTCTGGAGGCAGGTTGTTCCACTGATTAATTGTTCTGTCAGGAAGTTTCTCCTTAGTTCCAGATTGCTTCTCTCCTTGATTAGTTTCCATCCGTTGCTTCTTGTCCTGCCTTCAGGCGCTTTGGAGAATAGCTTGACTCCCTCTTCTTTGGGGCAGCCCCTGTAATATTGGAAGACTGCTATCATGTCACCCTCGTCCTTCTCTTCATTAAATTTGACTTGCTCAATTCCAGCAACCGTTCTTTATATGCTTTAGCCTCCAGTCCCCTAATCATCTTTGTTGCTCTTCTCTGCACTCTTTCTAGAGTCCCAACATCTTTTTTTACATCGTGGTGACCAAAACTGGATGCAGGATTCCAAGTGTGGCCTTACCAAGGCCTTGTAAAGTGGTATTAACACTTTGCGTGATCTTGATTCTGTCCCTCTCTTAATGCAGCCTAACACTGTGCTGGCTTTTTTGGCAGCTGCTTATGACCATTTTTCCCACTTACGACCTTTGCACCATCCCCAGGGCCATGTAATCCAAATTCACCTGCTTGGCAACTGGTTCGTAGTTATGACGGTTGCAATGTCCCGGTTGCAATGCAACCTTCTGACAGGCAGCCTCAAGGGGGAGGCTACCTTCACTTAACTTGACAACTGCAGTTGCTAACTTGATCACTGCAGTGATTCACTTAATAACTGTGGCAAGAAAGGTCACAAAAGGGGGCAAAATGTCTCACTTATCCACAGAAAGTTTGGTTGTGGCCATAAGCTGAGGACTACCTGTATCCAGAGATCTCATTTCATTGAGTTGCAATTAAGTTTCGCTTTTGATTGGGCACAACTGGTTTTCTGAGTGTGTGTTAGATCCAAGGTCAGGCAAAGAATGTGTGGGGCTAAGAAAACACCTAGCGTCAAAATCCAATTGATGTACAGCTGCCGGATAATAGAAATCGCTGTCACAGTTTTCCCTTTAAAAAAACTGGGAGAGAGAGTGGAGAAATTCTTCCAGCTTATAATTTAAGGCAAATTTATCTCACTCAAGCTCCCCCTGCTTTCATTTTTCAGGAGGACAGTGTGACCGTTGATAGGTATACATTTTTCCAGATGTTGTTATTTTCCAAAATAACAAAATGCGGCAATGCAGTAGTTAGGGAAAATGTGGCCCTCTTCAAGAACGTCATGCTGAAAATATGTACATTATTTTGATGGAAGTTTGTTGGCAAAAAGGTACAAGCCGGGGGGGGGGGGAAGAATGGCTGTGTTAGACGAGGAGAATCCTAAAAATCTACATATATTTGAGATGCAGAATTGCTGGCAAAGAAATTCATGCAGAGATGAGAGTGAACGAACTTAAGGCTGAGAAACAAATCCTTGAAATTATTATTTTTTTCCTTGGGCTTCTCACTGAAATGATTGCAGGTTGTTGAGACCTCAACCAATCAGTGTGAAGCTTCCTTCTTGATAAATAAAATTCTTCGTCATCTTTAGTTCATGGGAAACAGAGCAAAGAGGAGATTAATTGGGGAAACCTGATATTTTTCTTAGCTGAAATAAGATTATCTTTCTTTGCCTGATTTTGTGAAAATGGGGAAATAGGTCGTGTTGTAAAGATGAACCAATACAGCAATATACAAAAACAATACGTGGAATATAATGAATATCAGGTTGAACACTGTGGCTTTTTGAGGGTGAATATATCTCAATCAGAATAACAGAGTTGGAAGAGAACCTTGGAGGTCTTCTAGTCCAACCCCCTGCTCAAACAGGATACCCTATACTGTTCCAGTATATGGCTGTCCAGTCTCTTCTTGAAAACTTCCAGTGATGGGAGCATCCACAATTTCTGGAGGCAGGTTGTTCCACTGGTTAATTGTTCTCACTGTCAGGAAATTCCTCCTTAGTTCTAGGTTGTTTCTCTCCTTGATTTGTTCCCATCCGTTGCTTCTTGTCCTGCCTTCAGGTGCTTTGGAGAAGAGCTTGACTCCCTCTTCTTTGGGGCAGCCCCTGAAATACTGGAAGACTGCTATCATGTCATCCCTAGTTCTTCTTTTCATTAAACTAGACATATCCAATTCCTGCAATTGTTCTTTGTATGTTTTAGCCTCCAGTCCCCTAATCCTCTTGGGGACTTCTGGGACACACATTATGATCTTGAAAAATAGGTGTGCACCCTTGACTAACTTAGACAGCTAAGCAGGGTAGACACTGGTTTTTATTTGGAAAAGAAAGTCCAGAGCTGTAGGTTACACTGGAAGCAAAAAAATAATAAATGGAAGAACCTAAAACTTGCATGGATAGGTCTGTCTAAGTCACCAGGAGCTGAGTTCAACTTGAAGGTGGCTTGCCTTTAATGAGATTAGGGAAGCAGAAACGATAATTAAGGCAGGCGAAATCAGGCACTGCTCATAAACGTGATGGACTGGTTGACTGTCAACAAATGTCTATTAAGGTTATGCAATTCAACTGTGGAGGAGTTGCTTGGGAATGGGTAGGAGCAGAACATAACTCCTGTTTATGACTTTGGAAAGAAGCGGTGTTATTCTCCAGGATTGCTGGGCTGTTCCGAGGGGGCTTCAGAGACAGAGATCGAAGTGCGTAGAGAGGCTCCATGTTTACTAGACCTCTCTAGGAGATTGTCTCAGCCTCGGCCAGTCCTGAGCCAACTCATTCACCCCTTAAACTGTTAATAGATTTGCATGACCCACAGGACCCAAGAATTTAGGTTAATCCTGCCTAAATAAGACCAGGTTTAAATTGAACCCTTCCTGGTTCAGTTCAGTATCTCATTTGTGTGGTTAGAGGCTTAGTGTGACAAATTTCCTCTCTGCTGACCCAAATGAATGCCCCTAAAATGTCACCCACCTTTCCCATCAAGAGAAATGAAATCTTCCTGGCTTAGTTCCTCCTCACCTTTGTGTGTTCCTCCTGATCTTCGGCTTCAGTTCATGGTCAGCTCCCATTTTGATTCCTCAGCTTGATCCTCGGTTGTTGCTCCTGAGCTCTCCATCCTTCCTCCTATTCAAGGAATGGCCTCTGGATGAATTCCTGACCTTGACAGATGATACGTCAAGTCACAAAGGACTCTTGATTTGCCCAACCGACCAAAGGCTCCACAGAGAGGTGTCTTGCTTGTAACTCTTGTGATTCTTTGCAATGTCAGCGAAGCATGTCACATCTGCCTGGGCTTTTTTTTTTTCTTCCTTTTTTTTGCTCCATTTATTTTTGTTCCCCTCGGATTTCTCACAGCCTTTAAACTCAGTGACAGAAATTCTATTCTGGTGTGATGGATCTTCTAAGGTCTAGGAACCTTTCTCCCTTCCTTCCTTCCTCCCTTCCTTCCTGTCATTAAGGGCTATCTGCCACTGCAAATTTAGCTCTTCAGAACTTTATTCATACGGTCATATATCACCGCAGAATCTGCAAGCTGAGCTGTATTAAAAACAGGGTTTTTTTTTTCCTTCAAAGGCAATTTGAAAGCCCAAATCGTGTGGACAACCAATGTCATTGTCCTTGCAATGCATCCTGGGATTGTCAGGTCTTTTATTGCTTGTGGTGAAGGATGAGTTGGGGAACACAAACATAGCCCACTCACCAGTCCAATTAATCAATGCTGCCTCAATAATTTACTCAACTGCAGTTAAAACTATCTAGGCTGGTTTTGGGGGACTCTGATGACATACACAGATATCATCGCCAAGATCTTTCTGTTCCTTACCCTCTACTGTACCTTGTAGAATCAAACTATGATGTCATGGGTGAGCTGGCATTAGAATCTGGTCAACAGGAAATTGGAAAACCAAACCCATAATCCAATAACCTTTTTGTCATTGGCCTAGGAAATTCTCTTTTATCCCTTGGCTTTTAGAACAATCCATTTCAACCATGTTGTCACAGATCATTAGAGGCCATAGATATGATTCACGGTCAAAGTTTTCCCTGTTTATATGGGCCACTACCTTTACCATTAATTTATAATGTTTATACTATTTGGAGGAAATGGGGGAAGAGATAATTTTGGGAGAAGTCTACAGGATGCTCATTTCAGAGTCAATGAATGCTGTTTTTATGTTTTAATTTTTTTCAGACGTCAGAGAGAGATGTCACGATGAGCCAACATATGTATATTCAGATATTGACTGGTGTGGAGCAAAGGATGGAGACCTTAACAAATTCTAAAGGTCCCTACTGACATTTCTTCAATTTTGGCAAGGTTTCAGTTTTTGAAAAGCCGTAGGGGGAAGAGGCTGTTGGAAAATCAGGATGTTGCTAAATAAACATTCAAATTTTCTAAGGTGCTAGACAGAAACGATCTCACCAATTTTATCATAATTATTTCTAAGATACCACAGTGACTAAGATCCCTGTGTTACTGACGCAGAAGAGGAAGCCTTGAGATTGCATCAGAAAACTTCGGTTATTACCCTAGGCTTAGTCGGTGGCCAACTTCTTCTAGATCTTAGTTCAATGGAGATGGACCTCTTTTGTGGGCGGAAAATCCTAGGATCAAACTTGGCTGGAAAACATCCTCCTTGAAAGTCTACACAAAACCTCCCACCAGTCTTGTCTGAACTGAGCTGGCATCTCTGTGCCTGGGAAATTCTGGGAGTTGAAGTCCTAAGCATCTTAAAGTTGTTGAGGTTGAAAACCCAGCTCTACGCCGATGTTTCTAGAGATAATGGTGATGGTCCTGGGTCCCTAGTTTCATAAGAAAGAAAACCAAGGACGAAGAAGAACCATAGACTTATTTTAAATTTTGAAATTAAAGACAGCTTACATGCGTGTTTGTAAAGAAATACAGAACTGGGCAGGAATTCAAAAGATAGGGTATTATGTTGGAAGAAGAATCAGGAGAGGTGTTACTGTCTTCTCATCGTGTGTTGCTGTTATTCAAGCACAGATGAAAAAGTGAAAGGACACCTTTATTTCATTGCCATTGCAAAGAAGAAGCAAAATATGGGTAGCTTAGTTTCAAGAAAGGAAATATTAACCTTGTGCAAATCAGAAGCATGACTTTTGGGAGGCGAGTTGGTGTGATCATAGCCTGTGAAAATTACAACACTATGATTAAAAAGATATCTCTTTTTCTCTATTAGTAGCGAAGAACCAAATTCACAGACCTCCAACATTGGAAAATAACAGAATAACAAAATTGGGGTGGTGGTGGTACCTTGGAGGTCTTCTAATCCAACTCCCTGCTCAAATAGGAGACCTTATATCATTCTGGACAACTGACTGTCCAGTCTCTTCTTAAAAGCCCCCGTGATGGAGCACCCACAAGTTCTGGTGGCAAGCCGTTCCACTGGTTAATTGTCCCGTCAGGAGATTTCTCCTTATTTCTGGTTGCTTCTCTCCTTGATTAGTTTCCATCCATCGCTTCTTGTTCTCTGGAGAATTTGGAGAATGATTTATAAGAGGACGGAAGGGAAAAAAATCAGATATTATTTTAAAAACGAACGATTGGAATTCAAACCATGAATCCCAAGGAAAAAGCTCATTTTTTTTCAATAAGGCATTAATGATGTTAAACAAGGCAGCTCACACAGTGCTCAGAACTAAGCATTTATATTGACCTCTTCAGTTGGAAAATAAATGACGGGAGTTTCCCCAGTGTTAAGGCATTTTTTCATCCTTTTCCTCCTGCTGAAGGATCAGATTTATTTGAAAACATGCCTCTTCTAGTCTCCCCACCTGTTTCTTTCCACACACCTCTTGGGGAGCCTGGAGATTATCAAAACTTTCATTGTCTTTTCCTGCCAGTCAATTTTTGCTCCTAAAATAGTTCTCATTTATATTTTCTCACTCCTGCTGTTTGACTCCATCCTTCTCGGAGACCCCGGGAGAAAACATGTCTCTGGATTGATGGAGTGGGAGGTGGAAATTGCTATGTGAAGAGAAAAATGCAGGTTATCAAAATAATATGCTGGTGTAAAAGCTGGGGGAAGCGGAGTGTGGAACAGGAAGTAGTATAAAAGCTCTGGAGAAACTTCTCCAGTTTGATCCCAGCCAAGGAGATGACCTCTGCAAGATGGGATGGATCTACATCCCTTGTTCCTCTTTTCACACACCCCCTAGACCAGGGGTCTCCAACCCTGGCAACTTTAAGACTTGTGGACTTCAACTCAGTGCTATGAAGGATAAGCCCATACCCTCTTTCTTGTGACAACACTTTGTGTATTGAATGATTGCTATTCTGTTCTGTTCTGTTCTGTTCTAGTCTAGTCTAGTCTAGTCTAGTCTAGTCTAAATATCTCCTCAACATTCAGATTAGACCTTGGCCACTGAGAGACCTGTCTTGTGGACCTGGAAGGGCTACTGCAGGGCTGCAATCCTTCAGATGATCTCTAGAGTACCCTTTAATGTCTGGACCAAGAAGGTGACTTTCCTTGGTGCATAATTTGATCTCAGAGCTAAAAACGTCAACAAGTTACTTTCCACGCTCCCATTCCATTTCTGTGCACATTTTTTGCAGCAATTAAAAAAGGTGATATAACCCATATATTCTGAATTTTTAGTTCCCGTGCTTGAATCCTGATGGTCGAAAAGTCCACTGCCAATTCTCAACGCAGGAGAAAGTGAGTTGGAGAACAATAACTTGGCCAATGTTATGCTTATGACATCTTTTTATAGAACTTTTGTTTTCTTTTTGCAAGGAGCTATAATTTTTAAAGACATTTCTCAGGCACCAATCCAGTTCAAATAAGTGGCACTATTACCTGGCACTATTATGATCTGATATAAACTTCTGCCTTTCCACTGGAGGAAGAGGAGAAGGAGAAGGAGACGAAAGAGTTTCCCCAAATTAAAAAAAATGGGATAATTTGTAAGCAATCCGGGAGAAAACAGTGAAGAACTGTAGAATAACAGAACAGAATTGGAAGGGACCTTGGAGGTGTTCTAGTCCAGCCCCCTGTGCAAACAGGAAACCCTATACCATTTCAGACAAATGGTTGTCCAATTTCTTCTTAAAAGCCTCTAGTGATGGAGCTCCTACAACTTCTGGAGGCAAGTCGTCCCACTAATTAACTAAAATGGTGAAGTTAAGTCACGGGCAAAAGTGAAGATGGTGGCCTTGAAGCTGTGATCCTTTGAATCCTACAACATGGAGAGACTTTGATTGTCATTTCTAGTCCCTCCTTGTTCCCTTTCAGTTTGCATCTTGCTCACCCAAGCAAATCATGTAAATATAACCATCCTTGAGTATACCGTTTTTTCCGGAAAGGTGCCAAAACCTGGATCTGCTTGGAGCAGGTTTGACTTGCTTGTAGGGGCATGTAACCTGGAAAATATCTAATTGAAACTGGATGTGCCTAGAGATATACTCAGCTGTTAGGAACCCCTGCTTTGCCAACATCTTCATTACACAATGAGGGGGGGGGGAGAGAATAGGAATTAAGTGCCATTTGTTGTATTCTATTTGCTCACACACAAGAAAAAAAAAACCACCCTCTTTGACAGCCAACTAAACCCAGGTCTCTCTTTTTGCTGTTGCTGTCTGGTAGTTGAGATCTTTCCAGTTTGGCATTCTTGCTACAGGGAAATGACATCTAAGAGAAAGAGGGACTCGGAGCTACACTAAAATTGGCACCATATCCCCTGCAGACTTTCATTATCCTAGGGTTGAGTTGGGTCTTGTCCTGCAAGGCATGAAGAGTGGTGAGATCCAAGGATGCTGAAAGGTGGAAGCTCAGTCCCCATGGCAACGCAGAGATGATGTACGGGGCAGTGAGATGGGGCCAATGATTATTGGCATTTAATGATGACTATCTCACTGCCATCATTGGGAATGGACTCCTTAACTTGCCAGCATCGGAATAATACTGCCCTGTTGGATAGCACCAATAGACCACCTGAACCTTGGTCAGATGAGATAAGAAGAATCTGCGTAAATAGGAATTTGGAGGCATACAGACCATTTGCCATGTCCAAATGGAAAAGGCAGGTGATGCAACAACCTTGAAGTCTACCAAGAAGGACACCGATTGTTTGCGTGGCTGTACTACATTGAATTGGGTTTATCAATTTGTAAAGCCTTAGTAAGACCACACTTGGAATACTGCATCCAGTTTTGGTCACTGTAATATAAAAAAAGATATTGAGACTCTGGAAAGGGTGCAGAGAAGAGCAACAAAGATTATTAGGGGCCTGGAGGTTAAAACATATGAAGAACGGTTGCAGGAATTGGGTATGTCTTATCTAGTGAAAAGGACGAGGGGCGACAAGATAGCAGTCTTCCAATATTTGAG